CGTGTAATAAAAATAAACCCATAAAAATTATATTGTGTGTAATTATTGATGGCGTCTTATGAGCCTCCACTGGTAGGTACCACAAACCTTTCCGTTTCTGCCATGAAGCAGTAATTCATTTCGGTTTCAAAGATGGGGTAGCAGTTATAAGTTGAGATTTAGAACTCATATCTCAAGATCGAGGGCGCCATTTACATTGTAAGTGTCTATGGGCCCTGGTAAACACTTAACATCAGATGGGCCGTGAGCCCGTCGACTTGTCTAAGCAATTAAAAAATATTGGTAATTGTATATTTCAACCTGCTAATAATTATTTTCATATTTTATGTAGAAATACCACGAAATAGCTCTAGAAGCTTGATGATACTTGGCAATAATGGACTTTGAAAGTGTATTATATAATAAATATTATTATATATACCGGCGCGATGAATGATTCACGCATTTAAAAGATCACTTTTAGTTACATAAGTCAAATAATCAATCAAGAAAACATCTTTTAACTGTTTAGAATCAATTGTGATGTAATGACACTCATTGTAATGTAAAACAACACGTGATTTATAATCACCACGTGTTATTTCAATACTTAACCTAAAAACTCATACACGTGTTGATTTGCAAAAATCATTATAAATACCGGCCGCTCTGCCGACGAACATTTCACGTCACAGCCGGAGTCCCGCAAGGCTCCGCCCTCTCTACGTTACTGTTCAGTTTGTATATCAATGATATACCCCGGTCTCCGGAGACCCATCTGGCGCTCTTCGCCGATGACACGGCCATCTACTACTCGTGTAGGAAGAAGGCGTTGCTTCATCGGCGACTTCAGACCGCAGCTACCACCATGGGACAGTGGTTCCGGAAGTGGCGGATCGACATTAACCCCACGAAAAGCACAGCGGTGCTCTTCAAAAGGGGTCGCCCTCCGAATACCACGTTGAGCATCCCTCTCCTGTCTAGGCGCGTCGACACCTCTGCCATTCGCCCAATCACGATGTACGACCAGCCCATACCGTGGGCCAGCTGACGTCACACTTTTTAAAAACATTACGGGCGTTCCTCCTTCGTGATATATAATAAATGTGTTGTTCTAAGAAAAATATCTCTTCTCCGTTTTCGTGCGACGCAATAGTAAATTTTAATTACTGATTGATATGAAAATAGTTTCTTAAAATACTTCAAGTGGAACGAATCGTGCAAAACATAGACAACTACAGAACACAAATATAACCTTTTGATAGGACAGTAATAATAATAAAATAAATAAGCTCTCTGTAGACCCAGAGATCCCAAATGACCTGTGAACCTTTTCCCGAAATCAAATTGAATCCCATAAATTAATCCGATAAGCCATGCGAGTTTGGGCTGCTGCTTTATAAACTACAATATTAAATTTTGACAAGGCATGAACTAAGCTTCACTCCGATGGGTACTCCTAATATTTTAAAAGCCAATCTCGTAACTGTACCTAACAAATTTTTCATAAACATCTCAAGAATCGTGTCTCAATATGCTAGCACGGCAAGAGCCTCTGCTCTTAGTTAAGTAACTTTAACTAAACAAGGAAGCCGAGCTTCAGAGTTCGCACGCGTTACCAATATTATTAATGCCGAAAAAAAAATATCAAGACAGAGGACAGCACGACGCCGGAGGGTCCTGCCGCCGGGCGTCACTCCTGGAACTAATCAAGCCCATCGTACTATGTTTATCTATATATAGATGTAAACTGCAGCCGTACACGCTGTGAACAGCCCCCCCCCTCAAAGTCCCCCAGCAGCATACTTACCCTTGCCCCATGTGACAGGGAGCTTCTGCCCGGGTAGTAGGGTTCGCCCCGAGGCCCGTTTCGCGCCCCCGTAGGGGGTTACGACGACCCCAGTAAGAAGTCAAAGAAGCGATCGAAAATGTACAACCACGGACAAACTCATACGGCATCCACAATCCTGTTTTAAAAATCTTACCAGTTCAAATTATCATCATGTTGGCTTCGCTATGACGAACTGCATCTTTTCCGCGGAATGGAAGGAAGCGGACGTTATTGGCAGGGACGTCTTAAACTAGGATGGGGCCCTTGGGCACACAAGAAATTGAGGCCCTTTGGAAAGTAAAAAAAGCGAATTATAATAACATTTTTTTACTGAGTATGACCATTTCTTATAGGTAATCAAAAACAGTATGATATAATATTATGTCATTAATGATATTAGAAGCAGCAGCAGCTGGTTTTTTGGTTACGTTTTCGATAACGGTTTCTTTCGGGATTTCTGTTGAGCAAAATCTTCTATTAGAGGCATAGTATATGCCTTCTAAATACCTTCTGACTACTGATTTGTGAAAAAAGTGTAATGTGCTCGACAAAAATGTTTTGACAATAAACGTGTGAGAGAAATTGACGGTCTTTCGGGCCCCCCTGAGAATGGGGGCCCTGGGCACGGGCCCGGTGTGCCCTTATGGTAAAGACGGTATTGGTTATTGGCATACATAAAATCTAAGGAAAGCGAGAAATTGGGCTACTATGGTGAACGAGCCCTTATTCGTAGTGAATTGAGAATCCTCTGCTGAAAGCGATCAACTTTGGACATATAGTTTTCATCACAAATTGTGTTCACGTGATAATAGTATCTTTTTTAACTTTTATTGCTTAGATGGGTGGACGAGCTCACGGCCCACCTAGTGTTAAGTGGTTACCGGAACCCATAGACACCTACGACGTAAACGTCGCAGCCCGCCACCCACCTCGAGACATTAGCTCTTAGGTCTCAATTTTCAGTACAACGGCTGCTCCGCCCTTCAAACCGAAACCCATTTCTGCTTCACCGTTCAGGTTAATTTCATCATGAACATAACATTGACAACAAAAAAGTTATATAATATTTTTAGACATACATATAATATGAAACTTTGCTATCGATGTATATAATTAATGCGAATGTCAATGACCAATACTTGTACTTCACAAATAAGTTTTTCAACTTCTTGGCCTGTTATTCTATAAATAACATATTTTTCTTTTTATTACGTATCCATCTAATTTTAATTAAAACGTGTATGTATATGCTCAAATGAAATTACAATTTTTTTTCTGTAATATGTGCCAGAATATAGTATCGGAGCCAAACATTTTTAATGACTTTTTTTCAATAATTATCAACATGGGAAATAGGATTTATATTTTATAATCATCATCATCATAATAATAATCATAATAATCAATAGTCCTCAAAGTTAAATAAGAATTAATTTGATTATTTGGGCTACTATGCCATTGTATAAATAAAAGTACACTATTATGCACAAAAATTGCACGTACTTATGTTTAAGCGTAAGTATTATAAGCAATATGCTTATATACTCCCTCGTCTATAGTAAATTTAATAACAATCGCACATAAATAACGAAAAAATAACGGAAGCGCATATCTTCAAAGTTGTTCTAATAAACAAAAAATTCTAAGATTTCGTATCTGCATAGTGTTAAGATTTATCTAAAAATATCTATCAGGTTATAATTAACTGCTTGAAGTCAATTTGAAAAACAAAAAACATGTGATCAAGTATGCGTAAATTTTAGTTCGGTCTGCTTCATAAATTTTACGTACAGTGCCTCTTTTGAATAAATAAAAACTACATAGTGAATAAAGTCCATGGTTATTGCTTGCAAAATGATATGAAGTTTATTTAACTATATAAAATGATATCGACCTTTTCGTAGCAAGTATAACTTTATACTCTGCTAACTTTGTAAAAGATGAATATTAGAATAATACAGTGTTGCAAACCTGACTGCATACCAACTCGAAATTGCTGCCAATTAATACAGCCGATTTCATCATGGTTTCTCTATTATTTTAGTAATGTTTTAAACTTCAAGAAACCTGAATTTTATATATATATAAATTTCGGAAATCATGATTGGAAAAATATATCTTATATTAAATTTTGCCCTTTTTGAGCATGGCACAATTATAAATCTGAGATGACGCGTGCGATCCGAGGTCAGACTGCAGCTTCACGAAATAAGAAATATTGGTTATTTTGGTTTTCGTATACAAGTACATAGTATGTATGACGGCCTTAGTAAATGAATATTATTATCAACTAGTGTTAAGATAGAAATTTTATGTTCTAATTCGGGAATAGTTATATGTTATATGTATGTACAAGCCGTCGATAAGCCGAAAGCTAATTAAACCGTGAAAATAACTCTCTAAGCTCTAAACTTAAAATTAAGAGCATAATTTATGTCATCATTCTCTTTCTCTTCTTAGCTGTCCCACATGACGGCGGGGTCAGCTTTCCTTATTTTTCTCATCCACTTCACTCTGTTTTCGACAGCATCGTCAATAACATTTCATTCTCTCTTGTCCATCCTTCAGTACTGCATCTTTCCATTCACTTTTACATCTAAATTTATGTCATCATTCCTGAAACGAAATTTACTAACACCGACATAGCAGATAAGAGTTATAATTGGGCTTACTTCTGAAATACTAAGCTTATATTATTAATAATAATAATAATCTGAATTATACTAATTGATTAACTTAAATTGACTTGGTGTGAATTAGTAGTAAATTTTGAATAAAAACTATATGCCTTTTCATTTTCTTTTTTTGTCAAGGCTGTCATAGTTGAGACTTTAATCTATTATCGACCTGTCATTTATTTATGGGACATTCTTTATATGTTTGTTGAGCATACGATAATAATAATTATAGCAGCCTAAATCCGATAAAATACACAAGAAAATATTTTTATAGTGTACGTGCATCTGAGCCGGAATTCGCTCATGAATATTAAAATTTCTCTACAAAGTCGTACATTGCTAAAGCTTAATATTATGAATACAACCTTATAAAACGTAAAATTATACAATCTGTGATTAGTGATTACCATAGATAATATACATTTAATATATGTGAGTACATTATCTTTGAATGTCATACGCTATATACTTTAATTTAAGCCAAATTTTTTTGTGTGTTGCATAACATTAAAATGAATGAAAATCAAATAAATGTAACTAATAGCAACAAAGCGAAATCACGCCCTTTACATGGACTAAAACACCTACAAGAAAAATGTAATATAGATTCGGACGTGTCTAACAGAAAAGGAAAACTTGATGCCGATAAAGAAATAGATGATAATAATGAAGATTTCAAATTCCAGTGCAAAACGTTTATAGAAATATCCAAGTATTTCTCTAGTCCTCTGAGAAAGACTGCTTCTTACATATCCGAAAATTGCCTAGTATCTTATCCGAATTCTTTCGCTCTGGAATACAAACGGGGGGGATTAGCGACGGAATACATAAAGTTCTCGAATATCACCCTACAGCCGGTTTACGTCCGATTATTCAAATTGATCCCGGAATTAGATCAAATTAAGTTTATTAACTTGAATCTGTCTTGTTCAAAGAGGATCCCTCCCGGTTTGTCATTTAACATGGCCTTTATTTACAACGATGCAAATGAAAAGCCTGCCTGCAATGCAAGCTTGATTTGTGTAGCATCAAGGAAGACGACGACTCCGTGTTATCAAATTTGCAAAATTGAACTACAGATATACGCGCAAAAGATTTGCAAACCGAACTTTTGATTATGGATATTAATATTGAAAGATATTGTGTATTAAAAACAACAATACAAAAGAAGTCATAAACCAGTGACTGTATTATAATAATTGTAATTTTCTGATTTGGTATATCTATGTGTACAAAATCAACAAAATAATAACAATGTTTGGACGTGTTTAGTTTATTTTTATATATTTGTTTAGAAAAGGAAACTGTTATATAAATACAGCATTTACTTAACTCTTTTATCCGCCATTTCTATATTCTAATACTCTAATAAAGTTCCACTGGATTTGATATGTATGAACTTATTTATTGTACTTAATTTATTAAAATTCATGCACATGGCGTAATCCTGTTGGCAGGACATATTGTGAATCCGCATGGGTAGGTACTGCCTTATCTATTTCTACTGCGAAGCAGTAATGTATTCCGGTTTGAAGGGTGGGGCTACCGTTATATAAACAGCTGAGATATAGGTAGAACTCACGTATCGATGTGTGTGTGGCAGCGTTTACATTTTTGATGTATTTGGACTCCAGTAACCAAAATACTAGGGCTGTGAGCTCGTTCACACTTCTCAGCAATAAAAATACATTACTGCACATTCTATATCAGTTAACCAAGGATGATGCAAAAGATAGCGTACGTGACTTGGTTGAAAGATTAAAATTATAATTGAATTCAAACATGACGCCTATCCATGTTTGTTAAAAGCAAATTATAAAATATATAAATAAATACATAGAATATTATAATATTTAGATGTAAAAAAATATAATATGTTGCATAAATTTAGTAAATATGCCTAACGTATACGTTTTATATTTAAATACAAATTTTGAAACGATTCTAAATAAATAAAAATAATTTGCCAAACTCAATTTGTATACAAAACGATCAGTGATTATAGTATTTTACTTTGTGTCAGTATTTCTTTTTTATAAAGCTCGTCGGTACTATTCGTACTCGTAATGCTTTAGACATAGTGTTAGATGTGTTCATGAATACTCGCCATAGACGATCTATTAGCACTGCAATGTTTAAGTCACCACTTAACACGAGGTAGGCTGCGAGCTCACCCACTTATCTAAGCAATAAAGAAAAAAGAAAAAAGTCAGGAACCGTTTGACTGGATAATGACAGGTGTAGTTAGATGAAAAATCAGTTTTAAATAGTATTTACATAAAATTCGGTTTTAAAAAACGATCTTGTCTAAAAGGAGTATTTACACAAAAATTAGTATAATTGACCGACAGTTTCGAAGGACTCACGATGAATTCCTTTTTTTGTATATGAATAATATAAATACACTGCCTGGCCATAAACATTGTTACAATTTAAAAAAAAAACGATATTAATACATTTGAATTTGGAACGTATCGTTCTTATTTGAATATTTTTTTGTTTTCTCATTTTGTTACAAACAATTAGAAGAACATTTAGAATACTCTTAGGTATTCGCTACCCCAAATCCGAAACGATCTCGCGTTCTACATATATCATTCATTTTCCTTTCCAGCCTTATAGTTTTCGTTGTCAGAGAAGACTAATAAAATTACTGAATAAAAATACAAGACTAAGTCGACGTACTTTTAATAATCAAACGTGTATTCAACTACATAGTTTACAAAGACAGAGTCTCTGTCTCAACTAACACATCACAATGAGTTACATAGAAAATGTAAGAACGCTCATGTGTTGCATGTAAATTCATTAGGTGCAAATATGGACATGATGGAAAAACTGCAGATATCTTCGGGTGAGTCACGCGCTAGTGTTTCAGAACATAAAGAGAACCGGTTGTTGTTAGTTTAGAGTACATGGACATAAAACGATTATCGGATATATAATAATATAATTTATGCTTTCAATTACCGATGCACACAATGAGCCAGAAAGCTCTTGAATCTGTTTATGGAATTACTAACATTACGTTTGAACTTTTTTACTCGTAAAAATCATAATTAGTGGAGTACTATTTATACTATTGACCTTTATAATAAACTAGAGGTCCCGCAGTAGTCGAAATTCGACTATAATTAATTGGAATTGTAAGTTTGTACACTACTATGATTGTATTTTATACTTCTATAATCACAAATTTCGCCAAGACTACACTATAAAAATATTAACAAAGACAAACAATATATAATCTACATATTCTCAATTTGACAACAGACGTCAAGAACAAAATTTTGACAATATGTATGCATGCGTGTGTGCGTCAAATACATGGTATGTAGTGTGTGTGATGTTTTATTTATTGATTTAATGTACCTTTTATGCATTATTTAAAAAAAATATTAGCATTGTGCACTTCTTCTCTATAATCTAATATAATATAACCTATAATTGAGGTGACATCTGCCATGAACTTTTGTCAATTTGTCAATGTTTTGTATTGATGATCACTTTGTTGGTGCAACTTATTAAATAAATAAAATAAAATAAAAATAAATAAAATAAAATAGAATAATCTTTATAAGCGTGGAAAATTTCATACTCCTCCGTCCGCGCAATTTTCGTAAAAAGGGATACAAAGTTTTTGCTTCACGTATTAATATATAGATACTTACTGGATTAAAATAGCTGGATTACCAAAATATACCAAACAAACAGAGTAGCGTAGTTATAGTAGGTATATTAATTTTTTAATTCCGTTCTTTTACCGTTAAATAAACCTAATTATAATTCATTGCATTTTTAACATCTAAGTATTACTTCATCTATTACTACTATTGTTTCCTGCTCAAACGAATCATCATTTAATTTTATTTTTATTTTTCAAAGTATTTCAAGAGAGAGAATAAGGACAGAACTGTAGTTTCACTAATATGTTCCTTATCTTAGTAATATTGTTTTCCATATTAGGTCCATGTTCTAAATTATCTATTAGATACATACATATAAATAAAATTGGAGTGTCTGTTTGTAATATTGAATAACCGCTTCTTACTACATGCATATGAATATATATATGGCACATACACCAAAATAACATTTTTTACAATTTTTGTCTATCTGTCTGTCTGTCTGTTTGTTCCGGCTAATCTCTGGAACGGCTGGACCGATTTTGACGAGACTTTCACTGAAAGGTAGCTGATGATATAAGGAGTAACCTAGGCTACTTTTTTTTGCTTTAGAATTTTTAGACTAGCTTCGCCCCGCGGCGTCACCCGCGGTACGACAATAACCGACGACAGTAAGATCGCGAGAATCATTTATCAATAATAAAATTTAATGTTTCCGAAGCGAAGCGAGGGCGGGTCGCTAGTATTTAATATAATTGGCCAGCAGTCTGGAAAATTCCAAATGTATTATTGACTGAGCACATCATGCTTTACAACATATTTACGTCACACGTTAATTGTAACTCTATCGTGTCTGCGAGTAGAACCGAATGACTATGAATCTTACTATTTAAATTGCGAGTACAATTATGGACATATCGAATAATTTAAAAATTCGTGATTACTTTTTTATTTTATTTTTTATTGCGTAGATGGGTGGACGAGCTCACAGCCCACCTGGTGTTAAGCGGTTACTGAAACCCATAGACATTTACAACGTAAATGCGCCAACCACCTGGTGATATAAGTTCTAAGATCTCAATATAGTTACAATGGCTGCCCCACCCTTCAAGCCGAAACGCATAACTGCTTCACGGCAGAAATAGGCAGGGCGGTGGTACCTACCCGTGCGGCGGACTCATAAGAGGTCCTACCACCAGTATAAAATTACGAACGACTATCGGTCATCATTGATCATTGGTCGTATTAATATTGATTTTAATGAATAGAAAGAATCTGTTAAATTAGTTTCGTCATGACGTCAATACTGCCCTTCGTTTAAATCGTAATGCTATAGAACGTTTCTGTTTTTGTAATATGTATAATGGAATTAACTGCATTTCCTGTACGTACAAGTTAAATCAACATTAGTGCTTACTTTAGTTGTAGTATTGTTATATTACTTTGAACGAAGAAACTTAGAGATGAGGTTCTAACATTCAGCAACCTAGGGTGGGTACCACCACCCTGCCTATTTCTGCCGTGAAGCAGTAATGCGTTTCGATTTGAAGGGTGGGGCAGCCGTCGTTACTATACCTGAGACCTTAGAACTTGTATCTCAAAGTGGGTGGCGCATTTACGTTGTGGATGTCTATGGGCTCCAGTAACCACTTAACACCAGGTGGGCTGTGAGCTCGTCCACCCATCTAAGCAAAAAAAAAAAAAAATATTGTTGCAATTTTCAGAACTCCAATATTTTGTTCTAAGCTATATAAGTGCAAAAAGCATCAAAACTTACAACTAACAAATCCGACACAAAAACTATTTGTGTAAATTTGTTATTTGTAATTTTTTACAGGAGAAAATTTAGAGCGGCTGTGATACACCTTCAAAATAAAACGCATTAATGTATCCAGGCAGAAATAGATAAATTATACCAACCTATGCGGCTTCATAAAATGCCCTACCACCAGTAATTACGCAGATTATATTATTTGCTATAAATAGACATTAATTCTTATATCACATAGGTATGTTTAATTTCGGCACCCAATACATAGGAGAAAATTTAGGTTAGTGGCTCTGAGTATGTAATAGTTTTTTATTTTTATTGCTTAGGTAATTGGACGAGCTCACAGCCCACCTGGTGTTAAGTGGTTACTGGAGCCCATAGACATCTACAACGTAAATGCGCCACCCACCTTGAGATATAAGTTCTAAGGTCTCAAGTATAGTTACAACGGCTGCCTCACTCTTCAAACCGAAACGCATTACTGCTTCACGGCAGAAATAGGCAGGGTGGTGGTACCTACCCGCGCGGACTCACAAGAGGTCCTACCGCCAGTAAAAAAACCATTTAAGGTTTAAAAGTGAGGAATTCTCTAGCCTTCTAACAGAACGTTTGATCGCCCAGCACCGAAAACAGGCACGACGTTAACACCTACCTGTGCGAATGCACAATGTCCTATCTCTAGTACTGATGCAACCATATATAAACTTTGTGAATTGTT